TAAAACTGAAGTTCTTTTGGAGCCGAAGCAAGGCGAGTCCATATTCAAACGGGCGAGACTGAATTCCTTTGACGGGGTGAGTTCGTATTCGAACTGGCCGAGACTGAATTCCTTTTGACGAGGCGAGTTCAAATTCGAACTGGCGATGCTGAATTCCTTTTGATGAGGTGAGTTCATATTCGAACTGGCGATGTTGAATTCCTTTTCACGAGGTGAGTTCATATTCGAACTGGTCGAGGCTGAATTCCTTTTGACGAGGCGAGTTCATATTCGAACTGGCGAGCCTGAATTCCTTTTGACGAGGCGAGTTCATATTCGAATTGGCGAGGCTGAATTCCTTTTGAAGAGGGCGACATGACGGTTTCGCGTGTTTCCAATGCCTACTGTGTGCCTCGAAACGACTTTCAATAACCGTACTGCTGTTTGCATTCAATACGTTATGATGGACAATTATTAGGACGCGTGGTGTTGGGGCACTCATTCACGCACCTCGGCCATGTTGGTGCCTCATGCATCAATCTGAGGCCTTAAACATGTAAACCATTTGGAATCTGTACCTCAGATTGATTTGATCTTTGGACGCTTCAGATTAATTGGGCTTTGATCCAATGGCTAGGACTGAATCTTTTACTAGTATAAAAGCCTAAATCTTGTCATTTTCAAGCTTTACCTTCGCGAATCACTCTTCAAAATCTCCCCAGCTTTCTTGTTTCCCAGAGTTTTCAGGCGATCTTCCCACAATGTCTTCTAAGGCGTCTTTAGCTATTACTTTGGCTAGGAGCGATGAGGAGTCAATTTCTGGGGCTTTAGGTGAATGGTATAGCATGACCGAGGAGCCCATAGATTATGAGGCGGGGTGGGGGGTAGCCGAAGTTCAATCCAACATCACCTCTGCAAAGCTAGATGAACTTAGGCACACATATAGCATCCCCCATTACGTAAAACTGCTAGTCCCTGACCTTCACGAAAGGGCCTGCTTTCCGAGGCCAAACTGTGTGGCCTTTAGTGAATACCTGCTTAAGGCAGGTGTGTGTCTGCCTCTGCACCCCTTCTTTAGGGCGGTGTTGAGGACCTTCACATTGTCCCCCACCCAAATCCTTCCAAATGGGTAGAGCCAAGTCGTTGGGACCTATTTTCCTTGGAAAGAGGTATCCCTAGGTTAGGACCTACCCCTCCACATCTTTGAAACCCTTTTTCACCCCAGGGTCGTGGGTAAGGATGACTCAAAGGGGTGGTACTACATCACCCCTTGGGGTTCCCATGCCCCCTTCGTAGTTGGGCTCCCCTCCTCCATAAAGGGGTGGAAGGAGTCCTGGTTCTGGGTGACGGGTAGGTGGCAGATGGTTGAGGGAGATGCTGTCCCAGCCGTTACCGTGCCGACCCAGTACTACGAAGCTTTTGNTCCCATGCCCCCTTCGTAGTTGGGCTCCCCTCCTCCATAAAGGGGTGGAAGGAGTCCTGGTTCTGGGTAACAGGTAGGTGGCAGATGGTTGAGGGAGATGCAGTCCCAGCCTGCATCGTGCCACCCAGTACTACGAAGCCTGTGAGTGTCATCCTGAATTCTTGTAATTCCTTCATAGCCTATTGATACTAACACGTGTATGTTTACTTGTAGATTGCAGCACGTACGAGCTTTCCGAGGCGGAGTGGACTGTTATTGAGGATATTTACCAGCGACCTCCGAGGCTCCGAAGCTTATCCCATCTCATTGACAAGAGCAAATACTTCATAGACTTTGGACTCATGGCCCCCAAAGGTAAGAGGCTGTTCAACTTAGAGTATTTGTGAGTAAGTTTGTGCTTCGCCACCATTCGTGAAATTAACCTCCTCTCATTGATTGCAGATAAATTCACCAAGAAGGAGTACCCCTTGCCTGATATGGATAGTATAATGAGGGCCACGCCCACTGCTGGGGCAAAAGCACTGAAGCCCGGATCCTCTGGGGCTAAGCAAGTGAAATCAAAGCTGGACCGCCTCAGCAAGAACAAGAACGTTCAAGAGGCTGAAGAGGAGGTCCCTAAGGAGGCCCCAAAGGGAGGCAAGCCACCAGTCGCCAAGGGTAAATGTGTGGCTGAAGAGCCTCAGAAGAAAAAAAAGGGGGCCCAGGTGGTGGGTCTTCTACGAGCTTCGGGACTTCAGTGTCCCACTCTGAAAAAGGTACGTCCAAGCAGCCGAAACTCCTCCAATCTTCGATAGACGCTACAATGGTTGCTCAATCGAGGAAAATTATTGGAGAGGCGCAGCAAGCAGCCGAGGCCAAAAAGAAGGCTATTGTGGAAAGAACCCCAGGGAAGTCTGGGAATTTCCTGGGGTAAGGGATGATAAAATTGCCCCTGCTATGATAGAGATGCTACCTGTTGAGGTTAGGGGTGCCACTGAGGGCTTCAACAAATT